CATTCTCAAGAACGTAACTACCATATAAATTGAGAGATGGCTGTACACAGCTTGTTCCAAAATGAGCAATCCTCAGTGAAGTGAGAGGTGCACCAGGCGAGCAAAACTGAGGTACTTGGATGTGCATTAATAAAAGCAACCAGTGGAGTTATGGTCTCCAGTTTGTGCAGTGGGCAATGAATAAAATGTACGGTACCATGAAACCACCAAAATGGTACCTTACCAGCTGTGTTTCCTATGGAAGAAAGTGCTTACAAGATAAGCACAAAAACTGTAATTGAAAACACACTTGCTTGACACCAGATAGGGTTATTGCACTACAATGGTATTAAATAAGGTGATATTCCCCAGAAATAACTTGGTATTCAGAAATTTTCCCACACAGAGTACCTGTGGAGATCCATCAATTAAAAGGTGCCACTGTAGAAGTAGCTGTCTAACATAGCAGGGCTCTCATTTGATAGACAGTCTTCATTGCAACAGAGCCTGTTATAGCCATAAATCATGTGGTGGGGAATGGGGGAAAATGAAAATTCTCCCAATAATGGACAGAGCTTGTATGGATTAGTTTGGTACAGTATTGGCAGGGTTTACTGTAATTTTATTTAATACACTTACCGTTTCCTTTCTTCCTCTTGACGACGGCGTTGCTCTGCCAGATATAATAGTTTTTCCTCCTCATTTTGCTTTTCTTCTTCCTTTAATTTCCTTGACTCCTCTTCCTGTTTCCTTCGTTCTTCTTCCTGGTTTCATAAATTAGAAATGGAGTCACAATCATTTTAAAGAAAAAATACACAGAAAGATGAAGTGTATGTAACCTGACTTTTAATATACTGTAAACCCTCGATAACTCGGAATTTTATACAACTCGGCATGGATATGTTCTCGGAATGGTTTCTTTTTTTTTTACGGGGATTAGCCCACCCGGGCACAGGTCACTTGACCCACATCAGGGCCTGGGGGGGCAAAGATATACAGTGACCCCTCGTTTAACGAACACCTCGGTTAACGTAATTTTGATTAACGAACTGCCTTCCATAAGGATCTTCAATTCGGTTAACGAAAAAAAATTCGCTTAACGAACTTCTTACGAACCGACCTCAACATGTTTTCGCTTGCACTGACCGGGCAACCAGCTTTAGTATCAGTCCGCCAATACATTAATCGGTTCTAGGGCTTAAATTCCTTACTATTTTTGTAAATATCAAGAAGTTTATACTATTCAATAATTTTAAAAGTTTAATATTCAATTTTTTAGTCATTTTAACAATTATTGAACGAAATTGAAGGTAAAGTGACTAGTTTAATGCGCGGCATCCAGCCTCTTTACACAGCAAACAGGCGTCAGTCTCTCTCTGTTTTCACTGGAGGTAACATCTTGCTTGAGACTCTCTTCAACTAAACGCTTTTTTCTGTGTTTCCAAGCAAATTATTGGTCATTTTGAAATATATTTTATATATTGACAATATATAATGCAGTGCAGCGTTGATTTAAAGAAAATAATCTTGAATTAAACCAGAGAGCTAAAATTTTATGGGTGAAATGGCACCATGGGGTGACTTCTCTTCCACCCCAATGCCTTCTCTTCTTCCTTCTCCTCCACCCCCATTCTAAATCCCATCATCATCATCCAGGAGCCTTCTACATACACATCTCAAAGTAAGTGAACTTTTCTACCAATGGTTTCGGTTAACGAACGTTTCGGTTAACGAACGACCTTCTGGAACGGATTGAGTTCGTTAACCGAGGGGCCACTGTATATATGTATATATATATATATATATATATATATATATATATATATATATATATATATATATATATATATATATATATATATATATATATATATATATATATATATATATATATATATATCAATAACACTGGTCTACAAAAATTTTTTTTTTTCTGGCATGAAACCTTTTAACTGTTTTTTACTAACTTTAAGGTGCTGAATCCAAATCTGATCTCAGATTTGCTCCATCACGTAACGTGCCAGAATTTACTGAGCTACCAGAGATTGAGGATATAGACAGGAATTCACCTGTTTCTACTGATGAAGATGAAGAGACTGATCTTTTCAAGCCATCTGGTGAAGATTGTGAAAAGCCAACGTTGTTTACTCAGTCAGAATTGAATGATCTGGTCAGAGATCTAAATTTGCCAAAACAGTCTGCTGAATTGTTAGCTTCCAGGCTTCAAGAGAAACGACTCTTAAAACCTGGCACGAGTGTCTCCTTTTATCGCAACAGAGAAGAGCAACTGCGGAAGTACTTTCATTCATATGACCAGCTTGTTTTTGTAATGATGTAGAAGGACTTCTTCTCTCCATGGGACTACCAGCATATGATAGTAAGGATTGGAGACTTTTTATTGACAGTTCTAAAAGGAGCTTGAAATGTGTTCTTCTTCATAACGGAAACAAGTATGGTTCAATTCCAACCGGACATTCTGTACAAATTAAAGAAGAGTATGAAAACATTAAGACTGTTCTAGAGAGGTTGCAATACCATGCTCATGAATGGTTAATTTGTGTGGACTTGAAAATGGTAAACTTTCTATTGGGCCAGCAAGGAGGGTACACAAAATACCCCTGTTTTCTGTGCTACTTGGACAGCAGGGCTACAGCAGACCATTGGGTGAAAAAGAATTGGCCACCAAGACATAGTTTGACGCCTGGTGACAAGAATATCATTAACGATCCTCTGGTTGACAGGACAAACATTGTCCTTCCTCCTCTGCACATAAAACTTGGTATCATGAAGCAATTCGTCAAGGCTCTTGATCATAGTGGAGAGTGTTTCAGATATATATGCTCAACCTTTCCAAGTCTTAGCGACGAGAAGAAAAAGGCATGGATTTTTGATGGACCTCAAATAAGAACACTACTCAGAGATCCACACTTCCTTGCAGCAATGACTGAGGCACAGGCAAGAACTTGGAATGCTTTCTCTAATGTGGTGCGGAACTTCTTAGGGAACAAGAAAGCGGACAACTATCAAGAAATTGTGGAAGAGCTGCTCTTGAGTTTACAAGCACTTGGATGCAGAATGAGTATCAAGGTTCACTACTTACACAGTCACTTGGATGAGTTTCCAGAAAATCTGGGAGAAGTGAGCGAGGAGCTAGGGGAGCGCTTTCATCAAGACATTAAAGTAATGGAAGAACGTTACCAAAGTCGATGGGACTCGAACATGATGGCGGACTACTGCTGGAGTTTGATGAGAGACATTCCAGAAGCTGTACATAAGAGATCGGCCAAAAAGAGGAAGTTTATGTAACTGTAACTTGATCTTAATACTTGCACTATTTCTACCGTACATTAATTTTTTTTTTCACCCTTCAATGTTACATTTAAATCTTATATGTGCATTAACTTTCCAATTTGATATTAACAATTTTTGGTTATAGAAAAATACAAATTATAATGCTGAAAAAATTGATGTATACATGTTTAAACCGTCAATTTTGATCCAAAAGTTTACGTTTCCCAGCAAAAGTGCAATATGGTATATCTCAAAAACCTGATGTGATAGACAAAAACCAAAGTCATATTTGGATTCTGCACCCCAAATTTACTTAAAATCCGTTTAAAAACCTTGTGCCAGAAAAATTTTGTTGACGGTGTAATTGTTAAAATGACTAAAAAAGTAAATAGTAAACTTTTAAAATTATTGAATAGTATAAACTTCTTGATATTTACTAAAATAGTAAGGAATTTAAGCCCTAAAACCGATTACTGTATTGGCGGACGAATACTACAGCTGGTGGACCGCCAAATGCAAGCGAAAACATGTTGAAGTCGGCTCGTAAAAAACTCGTTAACCGAAGTTAAGAATCTTATGGAAGGTAAACCGTTAACCGAAATCTCGTTAACCGAGGCGCTCGTTAACCGAGGGGACCACTGTAATAATTATTCATAGTAAATAAAAATTTTAATAAAAATACACCAAAATAAAATAATAATAATAATAATAATAATAATAATAAAATATAATAATAGATTTAATAATAATAATAATAAAGAAATACAAGAATGAAAAAAAGATCAAAAGTGAGAAACACGACCTAGACCTATGAATTATTATTATTATTTTTATAAATTTTTTTTATATTTTCGCCCCCCAGGCCCTAATGTGGGTCAGTGATCTATGTCCGGGTGGGCTAAAAAAAAAAAAAAAACTAACCATTCTGAAAACCGAAAAATACCGAAATGCCTCTGGCCCCAAGGATTTCGGATAAGGGATTGCCAACCTGTACTCTGTAACATTCAATGCCATAATATCCTGACTACTGTGGTTAGTTATATAAACTTTTCCCTGTGAAAAAGCCATAATGTTGAGCAACATATTACTGTACTAAAATTTTTATTGTGTGCAAACTATGGGATGTTTATACTCAAATTAATCGGTATCTTGCAAGAATTCTTGTAATGCAAGTTGTATTCTGATTAGTCAAGTCAGTGACATTTTATAAGAGAAAACTTTAAGGCTAAAGCCACCTTCACCTCTAAAATCCTTATCGCCTTCTGGCTGGGAGGAGGGGGAGGTGAGGTGTTGGCAGCCTGTATGGGAGACTAACGGGTGCATAGTTATCAGTGGAGGGGTCAGGGACTCAGGATTATACAATAGAGGGAGTTTAAAATTTTCACTTATAAAATATCAGTGAGTTGGCTCAGCAGAATATAACTTGCATTGCTGGAATTCTTGCAAGATTGCAAGTAATTTGAGTATAAACATCCCATAGTTGGCACTAGACATAGAAATTTTAGTAATTAACTTAGTATGTTTGAGTACAGGCTGTGATAATTGTAATGATTTTTATACAACTTTTATAGCAATAGTGTTGACTTTTAGTTGTGGTGGAACATATCCTAATTTTCCCCATAAGATTAAGTACACACTATATGCATCCCAAACCATCAAAGCTGCCAGACTATTGAGTCCCTGATTAGCGGGGTCCAACCTGTACTGTATAAGGTATTCATACTGTCATAATAGTTCTTTTATATTTTTATTTGCAGTTCCTGGCTTCTGCAATGACATATCCACTCCAGGTTGTGTCTAACTGTATGGCTGTGTCAGGGAGCGGGTAAGTTTTCTCTTCATATTACAAAGAATCTTCAGGGTAGAATAGCATGCATTGTCATTTTATGTGTTATCCTTTGCTTATTTTCTGTTATCTTAAAAGGGTTTTAGGGGACTCCAGTCGTCTTAAAGCAAATACTATACCTCTTTTTGGGACCAGGCTGTGTTGGTTGATGTACCATTTTTTGTATTTTAGTTCCCTTTACTTATGTTGTAGCTATTAGGAACCCTGGATTTTCAAACATGTAGACATGTTGATTGTATGGTCAGAAAAAAAAATTGTATTGTGACATTTGAGCTGAAGGTCTCATTTCAGCAAATACTGTGGAGTCTATAACATTTGGTTGCCCCAAACTTGTGTTCATTAATGTTGGATGACTTGTACTGTTTGACAAAAATTTTCTTTGCATTGTTTTTTCTGTGCATAAACAATAAATAAGAATACCAGATTAGCATACATATTGTCTAAACAATCACTCAACTACTTTTATCAATGGTGTTTGGCTTTGATCTTTATCTGAATAGTACAGTACAGCATTACCAAATATTTCTTAGATAGAAGTTAAGGCAAATTACAGCAACAGTTTTTATTTCAATTGGACATAAATTATTAATGTGAAAGGATACATAATAATGTAATCATTACAATGAGAGCCGTCCCTAGGGGGGTGCGGGGCCCTGGGCAATTCATCCACTGTGGGGCCCCTTTGCAGGTTAAAATGTATTTATATTTTTATAGTTACATACAGTACATACATACTGTAATATGCATATTGTTAATTCCCCAATCATACTATTGTTATGCCAAGTATTATGTAATTTACTATGTTATAACATCTTTCATATATTTCCCCATTTGGCAATCTTCCCATGTAAAAGTCTTCTGAAAAGTATTGATTTTCACCATTTTTTGGAAACACATAATTTTTACTAGATACCTTAACAGGTCCATTTTCTACCAAAATATCAATTGTTATAGTGTCCAGTAAATGTGGCCAGTTGGCTGGATCACACAAATCTTCATCAGCATGACCGTTAACATAGTTAGAACTGTCCATTTTCAATGCCTTAGTATTTTTTTCAGTACTCTCCTCTTCCTCAGCTTGAATATGACCCACTATCACCATCACAGTTGCTCAGGTCCTTTTTTGCACTAGTTTCTGGTGTTTTTGAAAACACATTTTTCTTGGGAAACTTTCATTGATATTTCGATTTCTTTTCTCTGCCATTTTTTCTGCACCCGAGATGTATTTTCTGTATCTTTCTCTGCCCCCCGCTGGCCATGGTATAATAAAAAACGAAGGCTGAGTACAATAATAAAATAATGTATATCAATAATTTCACAAAACACAAATCACGGACAACTGGAGATTCAGAGTTTGGACAACACTGACAGATGACCGCTGTCAACATCCTCACTCCTCTTCGACAGAGAGCACAGCAAAGAATGACATTGTTCTCAGTCTGGGTGGTAAGATGGGGTGGCTTAATCATACCTTTGACCTCATGTCAGCAGATGCATTGCCTAACTGTGCTGGTCACTAACCTTCAGGTGGTCTCCTGAATCTGGGTGGTAAGGTGAGGTCAGCGTGTTGGGTGGGGTAAGGACCGCGGGGCCCGGGGCGGTCGCACCGGTTGCCACACCTTGGGATGGCTCTGATTACAATACTGGTTACATTAGTGTGCAAAATGTGCAGTTGTTGCACTTTGGTGAATTCTCATTGTACTTTTATTTGGCAATGCAAAATATGACATGCAATCTTGAAATGAGGCATGATGGAGAGAGGAACATGGCATACGATACAGTACAGTACTAAGAAACAACTAAAGGAGCCCTCATAACACTTGGGATCATTTTACAGGTCCTGATGATGTAGCCAAGTTCATAACAACATCATGAGGTTTTGTGAATTTGTATCATGTTTATTAATATTTATGTTGGGCTCAGAAACCAAAAAGCGACCATAGTGCATTGTGGTTGTTTGGAAAATAACCAGAAGCGAGATTTTGCCATAGGTCAGGGTAGTTTAGTTTGGATTGGGTTAGTTTCGTTTCGATTGGGTTAGTTTCGTTTCGATTGGGTTAGTTTCGTTTCGATTGGGTTAGGTTAGGTTAGTTTGGATTGAGTTAGGTAGGTTAGGGTAAAATCCAAATGAAAAGTTTCCCTTTCTGGTTATTTTGAAAATGACCACAACGCATTGTGGTCGCTTTTCGATTTCTGCGCCCAACTTATATATAAACAGGTGCTGCATACAAATGTGAATTACCCCCCCCCCCCCTTCCCATGGTACATATATTATTTTACTGGCAATTGGGTTAGGTTAGGTTAGTTTGCATCGAGTTAGATTAGGGTAAAATCCAAACACAAAATTCCGCTTTCTGGTTATTTTGAAAACGACCATTTGCACAATAAACCACAAGGCTCCCAACAGAAATCTCATACATTGCATGTGAGAGTGCTTTGTCTTTCATAGCTTTATCTTTCACTAAAGATTTCGCTTTTTTATGCCAACTGCTGAAGAGTTTCCCAATTCATGTTGAGTTATAAGATACTACAGTATTTCAGCATCAATTTCTAATTACAGTAAAACCTCGATTAACCGACTTTCGGATTAACCGTCAATCCTGAACCCCTAATTTTTTTTTTTTTTTTTTTTTTTTTAAACGGGGATTAGCCCACCCGGGCACAGGCCACTGACCCACATCGGGGTCTGGGGGGCGATTATGTAATAATATTAATAATGATAATGCTAATAATAGTAGTAATAAAGAACCATAAAGAAATGCAAAAATGAAAAAAAATCAAGAGTGAGAAACAATGTACCTGTATGTATGTTGTGTTGTCAATAGTAAGAGAAACAATTGAGACCCTGCAATTGTGTGTAAATGAGGCAGAAAGTCAGATCAGCAACCTGGGACTTGGTCACAATTTTTGTGATGACATCTGTTCTTTGACTTTTCCATTTTTTATTCAGTTTCTGTGCTGGTTCATATTTATTTACTAAAGTGATTAATGTTTTAAAGCAACTTCTATTGAAATATGAATGGCAAATGAACAAAAATGAATAGAGGGACTTAAATGAGGTAGGTTAGGGAAAGGTACTTTGAAAATGTATGTTTTATTTTCGTAGACTTTATGTACTATTAACCGACCTTTTGGATTATCCGTCGGCCCCTTCCCCCCATATGTGGTCGGTTAATCGAGGTTTTACTGTACCACCAAAATCTGTCACTCTGCTTTAAAGACCTTTGAATAGTAAATCTTGTTTCTCTCAATAGACTTCCTCATAAAATTTTTCATCCCCATTATGCAGAGTATATTATGATATGGTGTTGTCTGTTTGTGTTTCTGTTAACTGTACCTCAATTTGTTATGCATAGAGGAAGATAACAATAACATTTCATAGATATCTTGTTCCAAGGAAGATGAAAACACGTTCTCATTTTGGGTCATTGAGTCAAAGGTTGTCAATTATTATTAAGATTTTAGTTTCCAAAGCATGACTTATATTTTCATACACCAATGAGCATATGGTAATATTGCTGCTATACCTTACCTATGGGGAAAGAAAACCTTGTTTTAGGAGTTGCTAGGTTAAGGTTATTTGATCAGCTTGGTCGAGAGATGCAGTAATTTGAATGTGAAAGGGAGAAGAAGTAGGGTAAGGCTAAGAATGATATAGGGAGAGGTTCTGAGAAATGGCCTCAAAGATAAAAACTTGACAACAGAGGCTGTAAGTTGTGTATAATGTCTGAATGTTTAAAATATGTCATAGCAGTTTTGCACTCTCCTCCCTCTGTCATATTTCTTTTCCTTTTCCTCACTTATTTTCCTTCCCACTCTCTTCCTGCATAAGTGTAAAGTCTGCATTTTTTATCCATTAGGAAAGACAAGAACACTGTAAATTGTCTGTCTTTATCTGCAAAGTCATTCTATCATACACAATTACAGGGGGTCCCTGACTTATGAACGTCTGTCTTATGATTGCCCGCCAATACAAACAGGGTTAAACTTGAAATTTACCATATTTTATTTACCTGATGCCTTATTTTTTACTTTCATTTGCTGTTTTTTGTCATTCTATTTATTTTGTCTTAAATTAAGTGATTTTAGATGTATATAAGTACTTAAGCGATGATATAGTGGGATTTTAGACATTGTTCTGTAGGTACAGTATACACATAGCATGTGTTCCGACTTATGTACAAATCCGTCTTAAAAACGTCATCAGGAATGGAACCTGTTCATAACACGGGGACTCCCTGTACTGTTAATGGGTTGTGAACTCTTCAGGTACACCTACAAATGTTTTATTTTTTTGCCTTAATTTGTATATATTAAGATAAACTAGAGGCAAGCAATGTCAGAAGTTGACTTCCTGTATTGATTACCATGTTCTCTTGTACACTCAACAAAAACTTCTCGAACACCTGGACACGATGGATGTGAGAATGAGCAGAATAGGGTTTGTCATCTCAGAATGGTTTCAGATTCTTTGTTCATTTTTCAGATTGCATAGTGCTTATAGCGTTTGAAAAGTTTTTGGTGAGTGTACATAAAACAGGTTTTATCTATAAAAAAATTGCTAACCTTTAAAACAAATTATAAATCATAGTATAAAACTTACCAAAATACTTATGATCATCAGCATTCATTTTATAAAACTCTTACTTAATGTGATGCATCATCGACAGATTGGTTGCCGGATCTCCCCCGAATATGCCCATCTACGGTGGCTGGCTAGATTGCTACCGTCATTTACGACAAGTTCGTGGCTTGAAACGAGGATCTTCCATGTTGTGGCGTGCTTATACTGGCCCCACAATTATGCTGGATGGTGGTCTTGCTATTCCTTCATCAGACATGTTTGCAGCACCCCTAACCTCTTAGCTGTCACTCTCTCTCTCTCTCTTTTTTTAGTAACTACAAAATTTTAATTAAATTTATTGCAGTAAAAGTACTCTAGGGTATTACTATAACTCAAGTAGACACCAGGAGGAGGTAGAAGTGTGCTAACTAATACAGTACTAGAAAGATTTAATACTTCACTATTTCAAAATTATATTGTTTAGTCAAAGGAGTCTATTTGGTGTATATATTTAAGGGTTTGATAGGAGTACCTATAAAGGCCTGACATATTCATGATTTGCATGCAAAATCTTAAAACAAAAATGCTTACACTCTTAAATGTCTGTCTAACAAGAGGTATTAAGGAAATTGTTTAATTATTGAGACAAATATGTCGCCAAGAGCTTCTTGTAAATTATTCCACTTTAATATTTTCTGAACTAATATACAGTCCCTTGTACAGTATAGAAGAAAATATTTTTTATTATTATTTATAATTATCCATTTCTTGAATTGTTTTCTCTGACTTTTTATGGTGCATCAATATGGGTGTATCCGAGAGCAAGAGCAAATGAGTTATTAAATGAATCAACAAGCTGATTGTATACCTTGTTTATCAGCTTTAGAGGAAATGGGGAAGATCTTAACAAGAGTGAGTTATGCTGCCATCAACATTTATTTTATTCTTAAATTTTTCATGATAAATGAAAATAAATATTTATTGATCACTATCTGCCTCATTAGTCACATTACCTATACAAAATGGGTGCAAATTTTCATAAATATTAAAATTTCACCAAGTAATGGTTTTATGATTCGGTGTAGTGTAGTGTGTGGTGTATTAATAGGAAACATGTCAATACTTAAGAAATTGTCATTTTCGATATCTTTGGTACAGTATGCACATCCCTTCACATTTTGTAATATATGAATACTTTGATGTATAATTATCATAGAGATTGTACATAAATTATGGGTAAAGCTTTACAAATCATCATATGTAATTATTAACCAGCAGTTCATTGGACACTGTGTATTTACACTTCAACATTTTATGCACATGCATTGTAGATAAAAAATGTGAACCTCTGTCTTTTTTTAATTTCTTTTTTTTAACAGAAATTTCTATCATTAGAAATTTGCTCTGAGAATGGCATACAGTACTGTATATGATATGATGAATATGAGACTTATGTACATAGACATTAGTTAGCCCACATATTCAGTGTTGTAACGTATGGATTTGTTTATAGAACTTTTTCATTCCAACTTAGGCATCTATAAGACTGCAATACCGAGAGTACAGTCACCCCTTGGTTATCATGCTTAATTGGGACTCCGCCGAGTGGGTGATAACGAAAAACGCTATAACGAAAGTACAGAACTTATGGGATTTATTCTAATTGCTTTCAGGCACCCAAGACCCAACCCCAAGTTTCCCATTTTACGACCATTTAGACCCACTAAATATATATATAATGTTATGGTAAATATCATAAACACACATAGGCATGGCTAGGTTTATTACAAAGTGATGAAAAGGGTACGCTCAATACTGTAGTCCACAAAACATATAGCTATGCTTTCTTTATTTGAGTCCCCCGTCATAGGAGTCCGTTTTCTCTCGCTTCAGGACGCCTGAATCCTCCATTTTCTCTCAATCTTAGAGTGCACCAGAGAGAGACTTCGTTATTCCTTAGTAATAACACAGAATTTGAAATTGCAACTGGGGTTACAATTGTTGAGGCAACTAGATATGTCTGATTACAGCAGATGTGTTATTGTCAGTTTGTAGGTGAAAGATTTTATCCTCAATAGATTTAGGTGAAGCAAGGGGTTAACATTACACCTGGAGGCAAATGCGTGATAACCAAATTCTCGGCCTGAAAAATGTGCTATAACGGCAGGTGTGCAGATTTTGATGGAAGCGTGATAACGAAAATCGCGATAACCAAGTGCGCTATAACCAAGGGATGACTGTATAACATTTATTGATTGCTAAAAAAAAAATTTAGATTATATCCATTTCAATAATTTGTACATTATTGATACCTCGCCTAAATGCTCATATTAAATTTCAAAATATTGTGACTAGAAATTATGTGCACATGATTTTTTTGATGAAGGGTGAGTAAGAAATGGAATTTGTAAATACAGTAGCATATCCATATCTGGTCTTGCATGGTAATTTTGATAGACATAATTGAAGACTATTGCTGTAGTTGATTTAATTTAGTTAATCATAATTTGTATGATTTATACTTGTAGCAATGTGATCAAATGACTTGGGATAAGTCATAAACCGTAGTACAGTATGTCTTCAACAACAGTAAAATACATTTGACTAAGTGAAGTTTTTAATTACCAATATCGATTACCGTGGATTATATACAGTGGGGTATGCTTTAACGAATCTTAATTGGTTCTAGAACCTCGTTCGTTATAGGACTGATCCGTCCCAGGCTCCCAAATACAACCACTTAACACTGAAAATTTTCTGTGGAAAATGTAAAAAATACGGTACTTTATCTTACCTTAGTGTTGTTCAGCATGCAGGACAGGAGGCAGTGGGGGAGG